TGATTTAGACATAAAAATCAAACAGTATTCGTAAAATTAGATTTACCTACATGTATCAGGAAACATAGCTACGTCAGATCGACATGTTTGCGAGTCGCCTGTGCGCATACGTGCCATTTCCGAGAAAAGTCGTAGAGGAAAAGTTGTAGGACTTGATGTAAGCAAGCCACTCACAAAGTATGGGGTTTACATGTATAACTGAAAAAAAAGGTCCTTGGATGGTTGACTACAAGGGTTATATCTACATTTATGGAAAATTCACCTACCCCTACCAGAGAAAAGAAAAATAGGGAAATTTATTATTAATAGACATTTTTACAAGCCCTACATTAAAAAGCCGAATTTATAGGTGCTTTTGCAACATTCTCCAAAGTTCTCATAAATTCTCGAAAATTCTCAAACATTCCCGAAAGTTCGGTAACGTTCGAAAATTACCGAGAATTTTACAACACTAGTCAGAACTTTGCTTGCATATTTTCATATTTCAAACATTTAAATACAAAATCAAAATAAGTCTTTCGCACTGAACAAGCAAGTCTTGATTTTGAGGCTCCAAATCGTTCTCGAATCTCGACATCTTCCCAATATTCCCAATTATCAAACGGACTCCCGAAAGCCAACTCGAACTCTCCACTTCAAAACTCTCAAAATCAGAAATTAATAGATATAATTATTCGAAGACAAATGTTATTATCGACTCGATAAGAACTGAAAAAATCCTAATGCAGACCAGGGTTTATTTTGGTTCGGGCAATTAAGGTTCTTGGACCCTAGAACTATCAGGAAAACAAGAACCCGAAAACACCTTATTGTCAATTGCAAGCAGAAATATTTTTTGGGGATTCTCGGTTATTTCCTTTATAGTCCATTATCATAGGGTCCGCTCGCTTCGATCTCGTGCTAAGTTTAAAAATGCATTATTTTATGAAAATATGGGACTACTTGATTACCAAATGGTATGTTGGCATTTTTGTAAATAATTTTTTTCCTAAAAACAGCTACTTCAAAATCACGGATGGAGCAATTTTTCAAAAAATTCGTATCTCCGTTATTAATTGATCAATTTCTTATTTCAAAAAAATGGATTACTCTTGGAAAAGTCTATATTTTAATAGAAAAAATGTTTTTACTACAAATATTTAATATTAAAATAAAATTTCCACAAAAATTTTAAAAAAACATATACTTTTTTTTTAAATTATTATTTTTTAACCATCTTTCTTTCTATAATTATAGATATATGCTGTGCCAACGGTGTATAATAACAAGTGTTCCAAAATGACATTTGGCAATTTATTCTTAATAACATATTTGCAATCAATATATAAAAAAATCAATAACCTATACCCTGATACATTATTATAACCCAATAACGGGAAATAAATAAACTTCACATAAAATCTAATAATATCACAAACATTCTCAATGGACATCAAGACAATTCTGAAGACATTAGCAATTACATATATTTCTTTTAAAAGAAGACAGAATAAAATTGATACAAAAATAAAAATATTCCTCAGCCATAGAGAAACAAAAGGAATAAATTAATGACTTGGCTCAATATTCGAATCTCTAACTGGAAACCTGGACGCATCTGACGGAGAATGTCACAAGCACATCATTATGGAATTACAAAACAATAAAAATAGTTTACAAGAAAATATTCTGAAACAATACTCGCTTTCTTTAAAAGTAATAGAAAAATTTAACCAAACTATTAAACAAATAAATATCAACGAACAACTTCTAGAATAAAACATTAAGCAAATTGCACATATTATGGTACAGAAGGCAGACATAATAAACCAAATAGGTACCTAGTCAATATCTATGAGATAATCGACTCTATTTTACAAAATATAGAAAATTACTTTTCAAAAAACTTTTTCAACATTGAAAGTCATGCATCCAGGTATAATAAAAACTGAAGACTTTTATCATTAATTAAACAAACTACAACAGCACTTAAGTTCTGAACAAATGCTGCTAGCGGTCTCTTTGGAAAATACTTCACTTTTTGAAAAAATAATTTAACTGGAATATTTTGTCTTTAATAATATAATAACATACCTAATACATATACCAATAATGTATTCGGGCATTTTTGCTAACTTTCATTTATACTCGGTTCCAATGATTGCTCAGAGTGAGTTTAAGGTTGTCTTACCGCAAAATAAATTCTTGCTGAAAAATAAATTGCACTACACATACTATGGTCAAGAATGTCCAGAAATTATTCAGAAATTCAATAATTGTGGAAGAGAAGACATTCATGAAATCCAAAGAGACAGCCCATGCGAAATTAAACTAGTAGAATCTGACAAAAATACCTCCACCTGAGAACAAACCGAAGTTAAAGTCCTGCAAATTATCATCAATCGATTGGACGATTCCAATCAATGGATATTGGTCGTTCCTGTCAAAGAAGCCATCCAATTCAAGGAAGTATAAAACATCATGGGAACATTTATGCTTCAAACACCAATTGGTTGCCAAGTGGCCACCGCTGATACCATGATGCTGACCCTCAATCTAAGTCGACATCTAAAATATTTGAAATTAGACGACCTTCACCAATTGAGCAAAGAAGAAATGGACATACGCTCACAACTGAGTTTCACCGAAATCAATAGAATACCCAGCCTTGGGACAATCCTTATATATGTCCTCATCGTTATTGCCTGTATCTTCTCGGTTTCTGACTTGGTAACTCACTTTTCAGTAGTATCTACTGAACAACCTCTAATAAATTATATATCATTCGATTCAGCAGAAAATTCTGAGCATTTTTTATCTGAAACTTTTTTCTGTATAATTTATAATTATAGAAAGAAAAATGGTTTAAAAAAAAATAATTTAAAAAAAATATCTTTTTTTTTCAATTTTTGGGGAAACTTTCTTTTATTATTGAATATTTGTGGTTCAAAAATTTTTTTTATTAAATTATAGACTTTTCCGAGTAATTTCTTTTTTTGAAATAGAAAATTGATCAAATAATAATGGAGATACGAATTTTTCAAAAATTGCTCCATCCGCGATCTTGAAGTGGCTGTTTTTCGGAAAAAAATAATTCACAGAAATGCCAACATACCATTTGGTAATCTAGTAGTACCATATTTTCATAAAATAAAGCATTTTCAAACTTAGCACGAGATCGAAGCGAGCAGCCGTTTTTGAGCCCTATGATAATAGACTATATGACTCACATAATAGCTATTTATATAACAAGTACATAAAGTAAGGCTTTATTGTACGAATAATTTTATGGCCGAGCGAGCTTGCGAGCGAGGCTATTAAATAATGAGTCAATAAAGCCTGTTTATGTAAGCGTTATATACATGATTTTATGTACGATTGCGATTGGTTTCTGTTAAAAATTAAATTTTTTTAATGAAATAGTTATTTACCTAACAAGTGCGGAAAGTAAGTGCGGAAAGTGGTACTTTTCCGCAAGAGTTAGGTACAATATTTTTCCTACGAGTGCTTTTGTCCATCTTATTTATCAAAAAAAATGTTCCAATATGCAAAGATTTTATAATGATGGTACAAAATAGCACATAATATAAAATAATATATAACATAAATCATTTATTTGATCCTAAATATCTTCATTTTTAGCAATAAAAAAATCGTGCGGAAAAGTAACTTTTCAGCACGATTTTACTTTTCCGGTACGATTTTACTTTTCCGCACGATTTTAATTTTCCGCGCGATTTTTTTATACACAAAAAAATAATGGAACCGGATTTTTTTATCATGATCCGTGGCCTATAACTAAATTGGCCAAAAAAATTGTTAGGATTCCCCTACCTTCGCGGGGCTATGCCACCCAAAATAGGGGGCCCTGCGGGGCTGTGCCCCCAAAAAAGGGGCTTCGCCCCCCCAAAAAGGGGCCCGCGGGACTGTGCCCCTCAGAAATGGGGCCCGCGGGACTATGCCCCCCAAATAGGGGGCCACCGCGGAGCTCCGCCCCCCAAATAGGGGGCCCCCGAACTTTAATATGGGTACACTTTTCAGTAAAAGTAAAAATCGTGCGGAAAAGTAAAAAAATAGTGCGGAAAAGTAAAATCGTGCGGAAAAGTAAAATCGTGCGGAAAAGTACAACTTTCAAAACGAAAAATCGCTCGAAGGAAATAGTATATTACATACCGAGGTGGAAAGTGTTTCATTACTGTCGAGAGATTTTAGTTAACTGAAATCTTGAGACAGTAATGAAACTTTTCACCGAGGTATGTATATTTTATTTACAATCATTCGAATTTTGAAATTTTCATTTGGATTAAAACTAAAAAATACAATAATTAACAATTTCATTTACTTTCGACCCGTGGGCCGAAAGTAAAAGTCAAAAAATACAATAAATTTTAAAAATTTCATTCACTTTCGGCCCGTGGGCCGAAAGTAAAAGTCAAAAAAGTGACATTTTCGAACTTTTTAAAAGTCAGTAAAGTCAACATTACATGTATGATTGTAAATAAAAGTAAATTTCGCGTAGGTGTACCTGTTTCACCTTGGCAGGTTGTCAGGACCTGTTTTACCTTGTAAGGTAAGTCTAGGTAGGCAATAAAGTAGCACTTTATTTTACTAGTAAAATAAAGTAGCACTTTATTTTACTAGTACAAGAAAGTGCTACTTTATTGACGCAAAACTGTTCTATAAATAGCACTTTATTGGTCAATCGGACATAAATGTGTTTTTAGTGCCCTGAGATAAGGTTTCTTTTTTCAGTTTTTTCTACATTAAATACGAAAAAAGCTGAGATTCAGCATCAGTGTTAATATTCATTATCACTAATACATAATTATTGATTTTAGCACTTTCCGTGACACCATTCCACTTGTATTTATTAAGTTTTTTAGGGGATTCTTGCACTACAACTTATTTTTAAAAAAAAAGTTAATTCCAAATCAACCACAATTCACGACCCAAATTCCTCCAAAATCGACAGTAAATCCAGTGTAAGAATTCCAATAAATAAAGTTGAGTTAATGACTTACCAATTTTAACTCCTCCGGCCATTGTCAGCAACACATTGCCGGCTTTCAGATCCCTATGTATGACATGGCTTTTGTGCAAAAAGTCCAATCCTTTGCACATATTTTGACAGACATAGGCTATTTGGGGTTCAGTCAGTGGTTTTTCTAATTCAGTCATAATACTGTCTAAGGCACCTCCATCACAATATTCAATTAATAACCATAACTGTAAAAAAAACGCGTTTGTATGGATCAAATTTAGAAAATAAACAAACAATTAGAACAGAAATGAAACGGACAAATCAACCTACCTCTTGACCTACCTGTTGTTCTTTTTGGAATGCTTCCAATAGCTCAACAACATTAGTATGCTTAATTTCTGTTAATATATCAATTTCGATCATGAAGTCAGAAAGGTCATCTTCTCCATCAAGCCGGCACATTTTTGCAGCAGCTAACTGACCATTATGTTTATGTTGAGCCTGTAAGAATGAAAAATATTTTTACTCTTAGAAAAAAATGCGTTTTGGAAAGTTCCAGTTAATCAGCAATAAAAAACTTATTTGTTATTTTTCAAAGCAATTATTAATGTCAATTTAATGCATTTTTATGTTCAACATTGTTTACCATGTTTCATGGCTAATTTTCAGTAATTAAAAATTGATTGACTGATTGGATAATTCTAGTAGCACAAGTTACATACAAGAAATTACCAAAAGTTATTACCTACAAAATTTACTTATTGGTTATTATTATTACCTTATAAACTTTGCCATAGGCTCCGTCTCCCAATTCTCCGATCATATCCCAATATTCCTCAGGATCAGTATCCATTTTAACGTTATTGTAAATTTTCTTCTTTTTGGCATCGCTGCCGCCAAAATGAAGCGCCTTTTTGATATTGGTGAAGAACGACATTTTAGAGTTTTTTGGTAGTTCTCTAACACTTGTAGAAATTAACTATGTACTACACTTTAATAAATTTTCACATCACATGTCCATTTAGCTTAAAACTAAAGCACTAATATTAGCCAAATTTTCTGTGTCTTTTTCTCATTTTTTCTTCAAGTTGCCAAGAGCAGATCTAAGAAAAATCTAAAAAAAAAAAAAATACGTACTTATTTTGTTTTCAATTTGGACATGAAAAGCTTGCAAATAAAAAAACAAAACAGAAATCCAGTCGTAGAAGCGGCAATAAGGCATATAGTGGTGTAAAATTGTGAATATTTGGATACTGGATGGATTTATCTAGTTCAATAATCAAAGGAAAAGCTTAAATGAGCAAAAGTGCAAAACTGAAATACAAGTATGTACTTATTACAAACTTCTTTTTTTGTTCAATTAGGTATTAATTATATTATCAAGAGTCTTGAAAAATGATAAAAAAAAACAGAGAACGGATGTAAATTTTCCCTAGAAATTAGTAGGTACATATCTCGGTACATATTCAGTGACTTCTTGACGCCAAAACTTAGATGAAACATTGATCAACTTGGCCCGAAGCATTGAGGTTACTTCTGAATTATGAATGACTTAAGAGTACCTAGGTTTAGTTAGATACGAGTCTAGGTATCTATTTGATTGAATATACATATAATATAATCTAAGGTACTATATATATAAAGAACCCAAGGGACCAAACCTCTGGTCAAAGTTCAGTGGCAATTGGTGTATAAAAAACTAATCACATTTGGCAGTACAAAACTAGAATTATTTGTGATTGAATTTGTCAAGAAATTTGTCAACAAAGGGGTAAAAGCAAGAGGTTTTTAGGTGTCCACAGTAGGTGTATAAATCGAAGTACAAATTTTGACTTCCACAGTACCCTACAGGTCTTGAATAGGACTATACAGTACTTCAACAGGACTATACAGTACTTCAACAGAACTATACAGTATTTCAACAGGTCTATACAGTACTTCAACAGAACTATACAGCATTTCAACAGGTCTATACAGTACTTCAACAGGACTTTAATACAGGACCCTTCGGGACTGGTGATATGCAGAGAAAATTGAAAAATAATTTTTCTGCTTGGCTCTCTAGATTGGTGGAAGTCAGATTTATTACCTAGGTATATTCCAACACCTCAAAAACCAACCCAGTAACCGTTTCAAAACCACTCTGTACACAAATTTCAGATTTTATACAAATTTTAGGCTCTATGCAGAATCGTGAGGATATGTGCTGGACCTACAGGACTTTTACAAGATTTGTAGGACCTACACTGCCGTCATAGTTAAAAACGCAGTAAGTGCAAAAAAAGCGAAAATGGAAATTTTATTGCTTCTTGGTAATTTGAGGGCGGGAAATCTGAATTAAATGTCAAAAATACAGTATCTTTTAGTTAGTTCTACAGTAACTGCAAAATTGATCCCTTTTTGCCGTTAAAATGTAGTATCTTCTGTATAATAAGGAAAAATACAGTGAGTGCTTCAGACTTACTGTGTTTTTTCTTATGTGCAGATACTGTAGTTTAATTTAAAATAGTGTGATTTTGGAAGGGGGATTTTGAACTCCATCTCGAACTCCATTAAACATGTCCTCGTGCTTTTTTGGTTTTATTCAAGGTTTTATTTTTATTTGCTAAGAAGTGTGAAGAAGTTTTGAAATAAAAGTAATAAAAATCAAATGTTTATATGTGTTTTTAATGAGTTTACAGAATAAATTTGTGAAGCATAAAAAAATAAATGAATAAAGTGTTACATGCTGTATTCTTACTCAAAAATCAAGAAAAATCCTATAATTTTCATTTGCGGTATGCGTTTTTTCTCTTTTTCCACAGAAAAAACAAAAATTTTTCTGATTTAATGTAAAAAAATGAGATAAGTGTAATTTTGAAATAAAAACATTTAGTATATTTATATATTTCATTACTTTTTGGCCAGAATTCTTCAAAAAAATTGGCAAAAATAAAACAAAATTTGTTAGTTACTGCATTTTGGCCTCAAAAATTTGAAAAAAATATTGCCTTTGAAGTGCAGTAAGTGACATATTCTTTAAATTTGAACCGTATGTATTGTTTTTTTTTTTGATTATTTTTTCCTGAATATTCGGAAAATACACAAAAAAATTTAATATAAACCAATTGAGCAAAGAAGAAACAGGTGAGTACTATACCTTCTCTTATCGATTTCTCGAAATGTCAGTTTTGCAGTCTGCATTTTAAATTATGGCGGCAGTACAGGGCTTGTACAAAACTTGTGCACAAAGTTTGTGCAAGGTGAAGGACATACAGGTCCTTAATGGTACCTGATGACCCCTTGGGTGTTAGTAACTGGAAATATGCAATATTTTAGTGGTGAAGAGCCGAGTGAAAAACATTACTCTAAGGTTTCGCGCAGAATCGTGACGATACATTGTACAGGGTGTCCGAATTTGGATGGTTTTAATAGGAAACGTCAATTTCTGAGCGAGATACAAAAAAATGAACCCCCCACTCCGAGGCCCAAATTTCTTGAAATTTTGATTGGTGCAAACCGCATTTTGATATCTTCAACCGTTTAGCCGCTAGAGGGCGATTCTCGATTTTGAGCAATACTGTGAAATCTTCATAACTTTTTTGTTTATAAAAATAACTGATTTCCGTAAAAACTTCCTACAGGCACTTTTTCAAGCAGAATTCAGTGACGTTTTCAGTTTTTTTCTATTGGGCCTCGATTTCAAGATATTGACCAAAATCCGATTTTTTCCAATGGGACACCCTATATATTAATAGCTCATTAGAAAGCTCTGCTTTTGCTGATTTCAATGATACAAATTTCGATAGGTTTATCTCTAACAGTTTTTGAGAAAAAAAAATATTTCGGCTTTTGTCATAAGAAACAATGAGTTAGAAAGAGACCTTTCTCAGTTTCCTTACAGATATAAAGTCCTTTTCTTACACATTACTTCTTATGACAAAAACCGAAATAATTTTTTTTCTCAAGTCAAAGTCAAAGTCAAAGTCAAAAATAGCTTTATTGTCTTAAAACAAAATGTTGCTGACAAAGCCGTACTAAAATAAAGTCTAAAACTAACACAAAATTGAAAATTAAAACATTACTCAGTTAAAACAGAGAATAAAAGAACAAAAAACAGAAAAAAAGTTTTCACCAACGCATAAAACACCGACAAAAATATAAAATCTCGTACAATACGCAACGCAACAATATAGAAAAAAATAAAAAAAATAAAAGTAATAAAAGTAATAGTAAAAAAAAATAAAAGTAATAGTAAAAGTAATAACATTCACTTTTCTTACATATAAAAGTTGACTCATTACAAAAGACACGAGACCAAACATACATTGCCACTCGCTGTCAAAAACAAAGGTCCAATATTCCTCAACCAGTTACTATCCTTTCATTAAAATATTCTTCAAGACTATAGTATGCTTTATCAACCAAAAAAGCCTTAACCTGTTTCCCAAAACTTTTGTAGCATCCAAGCTTTCTTATTTCAATTGGAAGATGATTGAATAGTTTTTTACCTTCATATATAAATGATTTTTTTACCAGTTGGGAATGAGGTATGGGCAAGCCGAGAAGAAACGACTGACGAGTATTATAGTGTTTGTCCGCCTCCCTCTCAGCCCCGTATTTCCTGAACATCATGCACACCGTTTCCATTATAAACATTGAATAAAGCGTAAGGATAACATGACTGATAAAAAGAGGGCGACAGGAATCACGAGTCCTCACTCTGAATATACAACGGACTGCCCTCTTCTGAAGCAGAAACACTGAATCAAAAAGTGAACGGGTGCAGCAACCCCAAAAGCTTAGGCCATATCGTAGGTAAGATTCCACCAAAGTGTAGTATGCATTCTTAGCAACCGAGACATCCAAACTCCTCGATATCACTCTTAAGGCATAACATCCCGAAGAAACCCTTTTATGGAGATTAGAAATGTGATCGTCAAACTTGAGAGACTTATCAATTGTGAGGCCCAAGAATTTGTTGTGGTTTTGTGGAGTTACAGGATTATCCTCCAGGTAAACACTCTGCAGTTCACATTTGAAGTTTAAAACATTGGTTTGCGAAACATTAAAAGACAATAAATTGGAGTCGCACCAGTCCTTCACCATCCTCAAATCTGCATTTATGTCATTATTGAGTTTTTCCACATCTGAGCCATGCCACAAAATTGTCGTATCGTCCGCAAAAAGAGTAAACTTTCCTGAAATTGGGAGTTGGGGCAAATCGTTGACATAAATCAGAAAAAGAATGGGTCCCAGCACAGATCCCTGTGGGATTCCAACATTGATGTTCATGCGTTCTGACTCACCATCCTGAAATCTTATGGTCTGCGATCTACCCGACAAGTAGGCGCGAAACCACCTCAAAGCACCACCCCGAAAACCATACCGCTCAAGCTTCCACAGTAGTATCTCGTGATTCACACAGTCAAACGCCTTGGAGAGGTCACAAAAGACTGCCGAGGCTACCTCTCCACCATTCAACTGCTTATAGAGTAACTCAAGGAAACTGAAAATGGCATCGCCAGTGCCAATCCCCTCTCGAAAACCGAACTGTTGGGCGCTCAGGCGTCCAAGTCCACCGAGAAAGGCTAACATCCTTCTCTTCACAAGCTTTTCTACTATTTTAGCCATGATAGGTAGCAGCGTTATTGGACGGAAGTTTGACGGCGTGTCGTGGTCTCCACCCTTAGACAAGGGAATAACCACAGCTTGTTTGAGACACACAGGAAATTCGCCCGACAGAAACGAACTATCTATAGCTCTTGTGAAAGCTCGCAAGGCTCCATCAGGCAAAAAAGACACAACCCTCAAAGAAAGATTATCCCAACCCGATGTATTCTTATTTTTAATCTCATAAATAATTTCCTTAATCTCTTGTACCGATGTTGGGGATAAAAGGAATGTCTCAGCTACCACAATGTGCTCTAGATAGGCCCTAGGATCAAGCGGCTGATGAATACTAGCGGCTAGATTGGATGCAATGTTACAGTAAAAGTGGTTAAGATCATTAGCCTTTAACTTGCTCATAACTACCTTTTTATTATTATATCTCGAAAACTATTAGAGATAAACCTATCGAACTTTATATCATTGAAATCAGAAAAAGCCGAGCTTTCTGATGAGCTATTAATA